TTTGGTGAACGGAGAAACTGACTGCCATTCAGATTTCCTGCGGTACTTGAATGGGTCGTAGTGGAGAAATATTCCTTTCTCAGTGAGAAGCTCAAACGATCTCTTGGGGAAAGTGAATCCAAACCTCCTGTTTGAACCCCCAGCTCAGTTTGAAGCTCAGTAGATCCTTCCAAGGAGAGAAGGTCAGAGAAAACCAGTTTGCAGGATGACTTCCTGCCGAGAGGCAAAGACAAAAACAAAGTTTAACTCAGGTTGACAAAAACTCAATTTGACTCAGCAAAACTCAGCTTGGCTAGAGTACCCTAAACTGGCAAACAATCTGGCGTCAAGGTAGTGGCAGTCAGCAGCTTAAGAACACTCCATCTAACGAGGAAACCATCAGCAGGTGTGTGAGGAGGCGGACCAGAACCAGGCGCCTCCTGGTGGATGAAGGGAGACAAACACAGAAACACAAATACAAAGACAGGAGTCCTGACACCCAGGGTATTTTTGCGTGGAGTTTGCATGATCTCCCTGTGCATGCATGGGTTCTCTCCGGGTACTCCAGCTTCCTCCCACAGTCTAAAAACATGACTGTTAGGTTAAATGGCTTCTCTAAAGGTGTGAGTGTGTGCGTGAATTGTTGTTTGCCCTGTTTGTCTCTGTGTTGCCCTGCAATAGACTGGCGACCTCTCTCTATGAATATCGCCAGATGTTCATCAAAGAGATTGAATCCTGCAAGTCAATGGCTGGAATCAGCAGCTGGTTTTCCTCATCCAGAGAGGTTTTAACCAATCTGACTGTATGATCTGGTTGAATTGTCTCTTTAAAGTGCCTTGATATGATGTGTGTTGTGAATTGGCTCTATATAGATGCACTGAATTGCTTTGTTTACCAATACCAAGCTTTAATAGAGAGAGAGACTTGGACATTTGCCATGTTTCATGGCTCTGATTTTGACTTTAACCTTTAGCCTTTGCTTCTCTCTACAGCTTCTCAATGTTCTCTTTTTCTTCTGTGGTAAGAACAACTCAGACAGTGGGTCTTTTTTCTTCAGATCAAGCATTCACTGTAACAAATTGCCCTGTATTTTTACAGTAAAATGCTGGCAGCAGGGTTGCCAGCATTTTACTGTTAATTGTACAGTACCCTTACTGTAATCAACTTTACAGTATATTACTGTCACAAAAGAAATCTTTTGATTACAGCACATTGCTGTTTTTATCAGATTTACAGTAGACTACTGGCAGCTGTGTTGCCAGTATATTACAGTTTTTCTATGGTATCATTACTGTTGAATTCACATACAGCTTACTACTGTAAATTTCCAATACAAAATAGAAACATAAAAAAAAAACACTTAGAAAATGTAAGTTCCATCATGTCAACCAACATTTATTTGGGAAAAAAAAGAACCACCTCAAACATTGATTCATACACAGTCTTTAGTGGGCCACATAATAAAGAAGAATGTTTTGAAACGACAACGTATTTGTGCCTTAAACCATAACATTTTCTACAAGAATGTTAAGGGTAAACTGTCCAAAGTAAGTCGTATTCTGGAAAAACAGTAAGAAAATCACCATCTGTTTTGTAAAATAAATTTCTTAATAACTGATTTAAAGAGTTTTTGAATAAAGCATGAATTGTGGCCTTTTGATTAGTCTGAAATAAAATAAGTATGAAAGAAATTATGGAAATAATGCATTGTACAACTCAGCACACTACTTTTTCAATACAAAATACTACTTTTAGTTGAAGTGAGGACCAATATGATGCAACATGAAACAAATGAAACATTTAACTTTCAATCTAAAGCATAGAAAAAAATTGCGAATTTTAGTTTGATAAAAATTTAAATCAAACATTTAGACTTGAATTTCCTTTAGGGCAAAATCAGAGCTCCAACTTCAAATGATAAAACAATGACACAATATTTGACAACACACTGCCAAGATAAGTTAAACATTGTGCCTATACAGTCAAAATTACAAATTACATCTTAATAACAGAAAGTGGGAGCCTCTACAAAATTTATGCTATAAATTAAAAGAGAGATTATGCTGACCCTTAAACCAAAAAAAATCTCTCAAGAACACTCCTGTTCAGGGATGAGTTGCCTTCATGCCTGTATAGTTTTTTGTTTGTTTGTTTTTGCGCAGAGGGGCAACAATAGCTGGTTAGAAAGTTCTCACTAACCTATGTGAAATTCCACTCAAAGTCCATGAGGTTTTTTAACAGAGTTGAAACACGGGGGTTGACAGTGACCGACTTCTTTTTAACAGTTTTTCCTGTCCTCTTGAAGACAATCTTGCCACAGCTGGCCTTGGTCCCTCTTTCAGGGTTGATATCAGGAAAGCACCTGAAAATGCAGTAATTGCAGATTAGCATATGATGCTTAAGGAGTCAGGGTTTAAGGGGTGCTAGGTGGGAAAAGGGGGGGCGGACAGACGGAAACAAACCTTACCTCTGGATGAATTCAAGTGTACATGCAGCCTCTTCTTGATATTGTAGATTAAAGATGTAGTACACTGAAAACAGTGCAGCAAGCCCTGTCACAAAGGTTGGTTGAATGCCCTCACATACAACATGGCTCTCAAGACTGATCATCCAGTGCCCAGCAGTCACATGGTCTTTTCCACCTGAAAAATAAAATAAAAAAAAATTATAACAAGTATTGTGACTTCTACAAATTACCTTTACCATTATTTCTAAAACAACATTTATTTAAAGATATTGTGTTTCATGCAATACAAATAAATCAAAACCTTGTCTCATCTGCATGTTATTGTATCGTATTGTCGTAAAAATCTTAAGCCACAACGTCTTTTATTTTTCTTTGCAAAGTTATGGCCATCTTTATTCATTCTCCAGTTAGGTCATCTTTCTTAAGATTTCTACTGACAACCTAAGAACATATGAGCTAAATCTTCAAAAAAAAAGAAGTTTCTACAGGCAAAGTTGATATTGACCTAACCGTGAGTGATCTCTGCTGCCACTCAGCTTATCGTGAACTCTTGGCAAAACTAGATACAAATTTGTAACTTATCTTTGACAGCTGTTTTGTGATCAACTTCCCTTGATTATTTCATTTTTTTTTCTATGACATTATTTTTAAACAAAATTGTAATTTTTCCATCTGTCAAATTCTTTGATCGTTGGCTTTTTGAATGGAATTGTAATAGAATGCACGTTATGCTTGACCCCCAAAAAAACCCAAAAATAATCAACCAGAAGCTTTTTTGTGTGTTTTGTAGACAAATGTACACAGGTTACACTAAATACTCACTTTGGGCTGCAGAACACATTTTTCCAGAAAATTCTTTGAGGTATGGTGACCTATTTTCTGTCATGTCTGGTTGTATTATAATTCAAGGACTGAAAAATAAATATAGTCAATGAAACTTTGCAGTCCATGTCAGTTAACAGTGTACTCACAGAGTAGTATCAGGCGTGGTGTTAAAGGCAGGTTGAAGGTCTTCTCAACATCAGTCACTGTGGCAGATGACTGTAAAGAACAAAGAAATATTAGTAAGAGCATTAGTTCTTCAGGATGAATTCAGATGTCAACAATTCAGTGAAATATATCAGAATAATTATGAAAATAAATTAACAAAACTAACATCTGTGGAAAGGATGAGGCCATCTGTGCTCTCTTTGAAATGGGCCATCAGTAGCTGGACAACATGAAGTGCCACCTCAGCATCTGCATCCTAAGAGAACATTTAAACAGTTTTCTGCCAAGTCAACTTTGTGAAACTCCAAATTCCCAGTTGATATCCATTCACCAATTTCACTTCAGTAGCTAATCATAGCAATTCAAGTCAAATTGCACAAAAGAAAGAAAAGGAGCTTCCAAACATGTCCATATATGTAAATATGAATCATCAAAAAATAACTAAGTAACAATGAAAACGGATTACTTTAATTATTTACCTTCTTATCTACAAGATATATCAAATAATGTTATGCTAGCTTCCTTATTACAGCATGACAGATTAACTAAGCTAACTTTCAAACAGCTACAGTCTGTTTAAAAATGAAAACTGTATGACAACATCATCTGACAAATAAATTATGATCCAACTTACCTTAGGATTGGCTCATAAAATGCAGGATTCAAATGGATAGTCCTTGTAAAGAAAATTCTAGAGTTTGCTTGCATGTCACAACGACGTGTCTTCTTGAGAAATACAGTAGCATTCTGTTTAAAGAGAGCCTCCTTGCCGTTGAACGTAACATTATTCCATAAATGCAATGCAACTCACAGTATATTACAGTATTTTATTAAAAACAGTAATAATTGCCCAGAATGCATTGTTTTTCACGGTGCAGTACCGTTTTCAATAGAAACAGTATGATACTGTTCAGTTTTGGCCGTTTTTATACAGCAATTTGTTACAGTGTTGCTAATCAAAGTTCCATAACAGAGGAAGAAGAACTGATGGTAAGAAACTTGGCATACTTTAACTGTCACATTCCCAAAGATCTGGAGAATCACCACATACTAAGCAGTTTTTAAACTGACAATGAGCAATCCATGGAAATCCAACAGGTTAAATCAGCAATCAATACATTTTTAAATGTGTTAATCCCAGCTTTAATTCCACACAATTAAACAGTAAAATACACACAAGTTGACAAATCATCCCAAGAAATCAGCAACAAATATAAAATATTAAAAATAATATTTCTAAGCCTGGTTCATTCAGCTCAACTATGTCTTCAAATTAATTTACTACATGTTTAAGCAGTACTGTGGAATTTATGAGTGATTTCAATTTTTACAGGAAACAACAGTTACTGGAAAAAGCATCGATGGTGTGAATATTAAGTGTACGTTTACAGTTGCCAAACTGAATGCTAGCAAAATTTCCTCAGCCAGGACTACAGAGAATATCACCTATTCTGTCATCATTTGGAGTGGAAATGTAGAAAATGGTAAAAGGAGGACATAAATGCAAACAATCGACTTTTTAGGGCATAATAACCATGATTAATAACCATGATTTCCTTTTCAGGTAAGCTTGCAAGCTTTACACCTGGTAATCAGTCAATGCCCATAGATCTAGCTACCTTCCTATCAAACTCCCCAACAACCTCCTCTACAACTTCCCCTACAAACTCCCCAACAAACTCCTCTACAACTTCCCCTACAAAATCCCCAACAACCTCCTCTACAACTTCCCCTACAAAATCCCCAACAAACTCCACAGCAGCACCAAATGGGGCCAACCGTCCTGTCTTCTCTAATGGTAAATAAAGACTGACTTATTTGGATCTACTTTCTACATATATATAAGTTGCAGCTACAGACTGATTTAACTAGATCTTAATATGTTTCAAAAGTTAACAAATTACTGAACAGATTTCCTTTTTAATTGTTAAACTTTCTACTCAACTATAACTTAAAAATATATTTACGCTGCTCAGAATCTGATTAATGAGATTAAATTAACATAAAGATGTCTCTGCTTCCCAGAAACTTAGAAACTGTCTCAAGGTCAGGATTTTATGCAGAAATTATGAAATTAATGAATAGATGAAATTGTTATCAAACTGCTAGTTGATCGTTTTCCAAACTGTCTTGGGTTTTTTTGTGATTATATTTCAGTCATTAATTAACACCTTTTGCTGCTTTCTGTTCTCCCTCCAGCTGTGCTGCCTCTGCTGAGCTTCCTCACCTTGTCCCTCCTGAAGTTCGCCTGATAGAGAGCAGAAACAAAGCTGGTATAAACAAAGACACAGTGAAGGAAGCTGATTTAAACCAGCAGAAACTGAGTGCCATATGTTTTTTTATTGTTTTCAAAATATTTGCATCATATTCTCTCATTATATATCCCATGTTGTTTTGAAAATCATTTTATGATTTAAAGCATAATTTTATGGAGTGAATATATCTGTTAGAACAGTAGTTTTAAATGGTTAAACTGTAAATAACTTTAAATGCCTTTATTACCATGTGGAATGTGAGCAGGTCTTGTCTGTTTTGTTAAATCTGTCATCCAGCATTCTTCAAGGGGAGCCCATCCCAGGATTGGCATGTTTTTAAAAGTATCTGTCGGTTAGTGATATAACAAGACGAACTCACTTTACAGAAAATACAAACTGAGAGATTTGATGTGTTGCTTGTGGTGGATCTACTTTCTGAATTTCGTTGTCAGCTTATCCCCTCCTTTTTATAAGTCAACAGGTTTTTCTGAGTGTATGGCAGGAGGTGAAAGATTATTAAACACTGATAATATAAGGCCAAGGGCCATTTTGATAAAGCAGATAATGAACAGACAGCACACACTTATGCAGATTGTTCTTCCTAACAAAATGTAATAAAGAGGCATGAAACATTTAACTGGGAAAAGTGGAAAAATATGGGGAAAATGTTGATAACTTACCGTCTGTTTTTACTCTTTTTGACAATAAAGAGTTTGAACCTAAAGTATTTTTATTTTATTTAAAGACGTTTTTACAATATTTCAGTTTTAAAGAGTGTTTTTCCTTCTGAACCTGACTCAAAGATTTCTGGGCTAGAAGTAGGGGTGTGGGGAAAAAAAGTGATTTTGCCATATATGGGGATTTTCAGGTGCCCGATATAATATTGTTTAAAAAAAAAAAATTTTTTTACTTGCTACTGAGGTAAATAGTGTTGTTGAGCCCTTTTGCTGTGCAGCGCAGCACTGTACTGACTCAAGCCCCAAACAACCTGATCACTATCTTCTGATGAACATATAGGGCATTTGGCTGGTGATGATTCTCAGTCATTCAGGTCATAATCATTCCATAAAAAGTTAAAAACAAACCACTGGACTTTGTTTTCCAAGTTGCCATCGCTTCCCATCCAGAAAGCTTTCTCAAATCAAAATGTCTGGAGTGGCGTTAAGTTTCAGGCTTTATGGGGTAGCCTTGTTATGGCTTAGAAAACATGCATGTCGAGCTGAAAACAGGTCCACCTCTTTTTGTGAAGAATGCTTCACGACGAAACCACGAGTCTAAAAGTTCCCATTCACGAAGCATGTTCTTACACTGTAGATAGGTTGAACTGTAAAGTGCCTTGAGATGACATGTGTTGTGAATTTGGCGCTATATAAATAAACTGAACTGAATTGAACTGTACAGCTCTGTGCTCTGATGCGATCTACCGGCTCACACTGCACGTCCAAAAACCACATATCAAACCCAGCGTAGAGAGATAGCGGAGGTTGCACTCTTCAACCAGGACGAAGAAGAACTCCCTTGCTTGCCCAAGCGCAGTGGGTGAGGTTCTGATAAATAGAACCTAGACGCTCATAAGTCTGCTTCAAAGGCAAACACATTACAAGGGCCGACTGAATTTCAAACGTTTGATTTTCTCCCGATCTTACGATTCCTGATCAGCAGGTGGTCATGAGAGGCTGTCCCCATTTTCCTGAGAGTCACAGTGAGGCTGAAATGCGGCCTGATCCAAAAAGTTCTTGCTTGTCTGGAGAAAAGGGCAAAACTCTAAGTGTATGCCCGGCTTAAATAACATTAAGCATTAACTGATTACAGTTATGTCAAACTACATTGCTGTTTTCCTTTTGGACTTATTTATAATGTTAATTCAACTTTGGAAAATAAAAAGAAACTTTCAGGAAATGATCAGTATACCAAAAAGGAGTATATATACAGTATGTGTACTTAGACTTTACCTGGAGGCACTGAGAGGACTAAGGAAGGAGGAGCAGTGTGTGTGTGTGTGGTGAGGGCACTAATTTGTACCGTGTCTCTGCTATGTATTCATATCATTTACAGATGCATGAGCGTGAGGGCGAGCACACGGAAGGAGGATCTCACGCAAATGCCACCCTGTACGGCCAGGAAAACCTTGGGCTGCTGCTCATGTTGCACATATCAGAAACTGCCACTGCACTCAAAAAAGGAAGGGTTCTCCATTTCTTGGTGCCTATGCTCTGTGGCTGATGTTTTGTTCATTTTTCAATGTTCTTGGTAGCATTAGACTGACTACAGCCCACACAAGTGGCTCAGGTAGTACAGCTCATCCAGGATGGCACCTCAGTGCAAGTTGTGGCATGAGGTTTTGATGTGTCTGTCAGTATTGAGTCCAGAGGCTGGAGGGGTTACCAGGAGACAGGCTAGTACCCCAGGAAACATGGAGGAAGCTATAGGAGGGCAACAACCAACAGCAGGATGACTATCTCTACCCTTGTGCAAGGAGGAACAGGAGGAACACTGCCAGAGCCCTGCAAAATGACCTCCAGCAGGCCACGGATGTGCATGTGTGCACGAGGATGGTATGAGGACCCAACATCCACAGATGGGGGTTGTGCTTACAGCCTAACACCGTGCAGGACACTTGGCATTTTCCAGAGAACATCAGGATTGGCTAATTCACTACTGCGTTCTTCACAGGTTACTGAGCAGATTTGACAGACGTGACAGAGTCTGGGGACACCGTGGAAAGCGCTCCACTGCCTGCAACATCCTTCAGCATGACCGGTTCGACAATGCTTCAGTCAGGGTGGCATTTTTTGGTGGGCCGCACAGCCCTCCAAAGGTGGATGACAAACAGGCTGGTACAGAGATAAGATCCTCAGACCCCTTCTGAGACCATATTTTGGTGCAGTTGGCCCTGGGTTCCTCCTAAAGCAGGACAATGCTAGACCTCACTTAGTTGGAGTGTGTCAGCAATTCCTGCAAGATGAAGACATTGAAGCTGTGGACAGACCCAACCCTTCCTTAGACCTGAATCAGACTTAGCACATCTGGGACATCGTCTCGATTCATCAACCCAACATCATGTTGCACAAGTCAGTCCAGGAGTTTGCAAATACTTTAATACAGGTCTGGGAGGAGATCCCCAAGACCATCCACCACCTCATTGGTAGGCAATGTAAGGAGAACATACAGGCACGTGGAGGCCACATACAATACTGAACCTTCTCTTGACCTGTTTTAAGAACTTTACAAAGTTGGATCATCCTATAGTCTGTTTCTCCACTTTAATTTTGTGTGCGACTCCAAATACAGACATCCCTTGGTCAAGAAATTTGATTTCCATCATGATTTTTATACACATTTAACTTGAACTTTTGTACATATTCAATGAGAATATTTCATTCATTCAGATCTAGGATGTTTTGAGTGTTCCCTTTATTTTTTAAGCAGTGCACTTTGGTTCAGAAGTTCCCACACCGTTCTACGGATGGGACGTCAATAAAGTCAAGGTTAAATGGGTTTAATCTAGTAGACATCTGGAATATATATTAGGAATGTTTGTTGTGGATGCTCAGAAGTGACCAGCATCCAGCTCAGCTCTGATACCAATGGCACCTCACGTTGGGGGACTAAAGTAAGAAAAAAAAAAGTTTGATTGCGAGAAGTCATATTGCAGTTCTGGGTTTTGGCCACAGGTGGCAGTATCAGAAGCCTCTGTCATTCCTCTTGAACTTTGAATGTGAAAAAAAATTACCAACCACGAAAACAGATTGTTCATTAATGCTTTGTGGTACTTGAAACATTTATTATTATTTCCTCCTCATCTCCGACAGGTACTGCTGGAAGTGTGGGTCGTTGAAAATGCTCCTTTTCTAACAAGTTAACAGTAACTTTAGAAGATGGGATTTTAAAGTCAACAAGTCAAACTTGTTTTATAAATAACAGTTTGAACTGGGTTTAGACTGCTTCAGAGAGGGCAAAACTATTGTCTTCATCTAAGCCTTCAACTTGCATGTTAGATCCAGTTCCAACCAGATTATTTAAGGAGGTATTCCCTTTGATCTCCTCTCCTCCTTTAGATATGATTAATCTATCTCTGTTACAGGGATATGTACCAAAGGCTTTTACGGTTGCTGTAATTAAACCTCTCCTTAAGAAACCGTCTCTTGACCCAGATGACTTGGTCAATTATAGACCTATATCCAATCTTCCTTTCTTATCTAAAATCCTTGAGAAAGTAGTTGCCAAACAAGTGTGAGAACACTTACACCATAATGAACTGTTTGAAGAGTTTTAGTCTGGCTTTAGAGCTCATCTTAGCACTGAAACAGCTCTGGTGAAAATCACTAATGATATTTTCATGGCATCAGATAATGGACTAATATCTGTACTTGTCCTGTTAGATATTAGTGCTGCATTTGATACAGTTGACCATAATATTCTTTTAGAAAGACTTGAATATTTTATTGGAATTAAAGGAACAGCACTAGACTGGTTTAAATCTTATCTGATCGAATTCAGTTTGTTCATGTTAATGACAGATCTTCAACACGCTCAAAGGTTACCTGTGGAGTACCACAGGGATCAGTGCTAGGACCAATTCTCTTTACTTTATACATGCTCCCAATTGGTAGAGTTATTAGACAGCATGGGATTAATTTCCACTGTTATGCTGATGATACCCAGCTATATCTGTCTATAAATCCAGATGAAGCTAACCCATTACATAGATTACAGGCATGTCTTGAAGACATAAAAACCTGGATGACTCTTAACTTTCTGCTTCTGAATGCAGACAAAACAGAAGTTATAGTCTTTGGACCAGAGTCTCTGAAAAAGAAGCTGATTAGCCAGTCACTTCATTTGGATGGGATTAAACTGATTTCAGATAATAAAGTAAAAAAATCTTGGTGTTGTTTTTGATCAGGACCTGTCATTTAAATCCCATATCAAAGAGGTTTCTAGAATTTCCTTCTTTCATCTGAGGAACATTGCAAAAATTACAAATCTCCTGTCCAGGGGTGATGCTGAGAAACTAGTCCATGCATTTGTTACTTCAAGGCTGGACTATTGTAATTCTTTACTATCAGGAAGTCCACAAACTGTAGTTAAAAGCCTTCAGCTGATCCAAAATGCTGCAGCCAGAGTTCTGATGAAAATTAAAAAGAGAGATCATATCTCTCCTATCCTGGCTTCTCTTCATTGGCCTCCTGTTAAATCCAGAATAGAATTTAAAATCCTCCTTCTCACATATAAAGCCTTAAAGCTGCCTTGGAGCTCGTCTGCCTGGCTGTGTGTTTCCTGGACGGGGCCGCCTTTTACAGCTGCTTTTTGTATCTCTGCTTCTGTCTCCTTAAACCCCAGTCGGCCTCGGCAGATGGCCGCTCACACTGAGCCTGGTTCTGCTGGAGGTTTCTTCCTGTTAAAAGGGAGTTTTTCCTCTCCACTGTCGCTACAAGCATGCTTAGTGTGAGGGATTGTATTTGAGTCAATGAGTCAATGCAATCAACTGGTTTTCCTTAGATAGAAAACTTTGTATCAATTTGACTGTATGATCTGGTTGAACTGTAAAGTGCCTTGAGATGACATGTGTTGTGAATTTGGCGCTATATAAATAAACTGAATTGAAATTAAATGGCCAAGCTCCATCTTATATCAGAGATCTGATTGTTCCTTATGTTCCTAACAGAGCACTTCACTCTCAATCTGCAGGTTTACTAGTGGTTCCTAGAATTTCTTAAAATAGAATGGGAGGCAGATCTTTTAGTTATCAGGCTCCTCTCCTGTGGAACCAACTACCAGTTCTAGTTCAGGAGGCAGACACCCTGTCTACTTTTAAGACTAGGCTTAAAACTTTCCTTTTTGATAAAGCTTATAGTTAGGGTGGCTCAGGTTATCCTGAGCTATCTCTATAGTTATGCTGCTATAGGCTTAGACTGCTGGAGGACATGGGGACCCCTTTCCATCATTTTTGCTTTATTCTATCTCTACAGGTGCTGGTCATAAAATTAGAATATCATGAAAAAGTAGATTGATTTCAGTAATTCCATTTAAAAAGTGAAACTTGTATATTATATTCATACATTACATACAAACTCATATATTTCAGATGTTTATTTTGTTTAATTTTGATGATTACAAATGACAACAAATGAAAATCTCAAATTCATCATATCAGAAAATTAGAATATTGTGAAAAGGTTCAAAATTGATGGCCCCTGGTGCCACACTCTAATCAGCTAATTAACTCAAACCACCTGCAAAAGCCTTTAAATGGTCTTTCAGTCTAGTTCTATAGGCTACACAATCATGGGGAAGACTGCTGACTTGACAGTTGTCCAAAAGACGACCATCGACACCTTGCACAAGGAGGGCAAGACACAAAAGGTCATCGCTAAAGAGGCTGGCTGTTCACAGAGCTCAGTGTCCAAGCACATTAATAGAGAGGCGAAGGGAAGGAAAAGATGTGGTCGAAAAAAGTGTACAAGCAAGAGAGATAACCGCACCCTGGAGAGGATTGTGAAACAAAACCCATTCAAAAATGTGGGGGAGATTCACAAAGAGTGGACTGCAGCTGGAGTGAGTGCTTCAAGAACCACCACACACAGACGTATGAAAGACATGGGTTTCTGCTGTCGCATTCCTTGTGTCAAGCCACTCTTGAACCACAGACAGCGTCAGAAGCGTCTTGCCTGGGCTAAAGAGAAACAGGACTGGACTGCTGGTGAGTGGTCCAAAGTCATGTTCTCTGATGAAAGTAAATTTTGCATTTCCTTTGGAAATCAAGGTCCCAGAGTCTGGAGGAAAAGAAGAGAGGCACTTCATCCACGTTGCTTGAAGTCCAGTGTAAAGTTTCCACAGTCAGTGATGGTTTGGGGTGCCATGTCATCTGCTGGTGTTGGTCCATTGTGTTTTCTGAGGTCCAGGGTCAACGCAGCCACATACCAGGAAGTTTTAGAGCACTTCATGCTTCCTGCAGCTGACCAACTTTTTGGAGATGCAGATTTCATTTTCCAACAGGACTTGGCACCTGCACACAGTGCCAAAGCTACCAGTACCTGGTTGAAGGACCATGGTATCCCTGTTCTTAATTGGCCAGCAAACTCTCCTGACCTTAACCCCATAGAAAATCTATGGGGTATTGTGAAGAAGAAGATGCAATACACCAGACCCAACAATTCAGAAGAGCTAAAAGCCACTATTAGAGCAACCTGGGCTATCATAACACCTGAGCAGTGCCACAGACTGATCGACTCCATGCCACGCCGCATTGCTGCAGTAATACAGGCCAAAGGAGGCCCAACTAAATACTGAGTGCTGTACATGCTCATACTTTTCATGTTCATACTTTTCAGTTGGCCAACATTTCTATAAATCCTTTGTTTTTATTGGTCTTCAGTAATATTCTAATTTTCTGATATGATGAATTTGAGATTTTCATTTGTTGTCATTTGTAATCATCAAAATTAAACAAAATAAACATCTGAAATATATGAGTTTGTATGTAATGTATGAATATAATATACAAGTTTCACTTTTTAAATGGAATTACTGAAATCAATCTACTTTTTCATGATATTCTAATTTTATGACCAGCACCTGTATTCTCCCACTCTGCAATATCTGTTACCGTAGTTCAATCTCTAACCTTCTGCTCTCTCTTTTTCTCATAGTAGCTTGGCCTCGTCTGTTCCTGTTTGGTTGTGACAGCATCCTGGAGAGAAATATCAGCTGTGCTGCTGCCATCCACGCCCTTGTTTATACATGTTTGAGATCTGTTTTTTTTCCCCAGTGTAGTCGTTTCTCTGACTGTGACTGGCTGGATGTGCTCTCTTCATCCTCTGGCATGGGAGCTGCCTTGGAGCTCGTCTGCCTGGCTGTGTGTTTCCTGGACGGGGCCGCCTTTACAGCTGCTTTTTGTATCTCTGCTTCTGTCTCCTTGAACCCCAGTCGGCCTCAGCAGATGGCCGCTCACACTGAGCCTGGTTCTGCTGGAGGTTTCTTCCTGTTAAAAGGGAGTTTTTCCTCTCCACTGTCGCTGCAAGCATGTTTAGTGTGAGGGATTGTATTCGAGTCAATGATTTGATGCAATCAACTGGTTTTCCTTAGATAAAAAACCTTGTATCAATTTGACTGTATGATCTAGTTGAACTGTAAAGTGCCTTGAGATGACGTGCTGTGAATTTGGCGCTATATAAACAAACTTAATTGAATTTTATGTTGTAATGTTAAGTATCTTCACCGTCACACCTAAAGTAAGTTAAATAGGAAAAAGGAAACCAAACTGAAGCATTTATAAAAAAAAAAAAAAAAAAAAATAGTTGGGTCAAACTTTGTTTTAATATTTTATTGCAATTTATTTCTTTATAGTTAAACTAAAAAGTGATTTTATATATATATATATATATATAAAAAAACTGACATGAACATACATACACACAAAGTCAAACAAACTCACTGAGGAGGAAGGAAAATGCAGAGAAGCTAAAAACTAATCAGTGTATAAGTTCCTGTCCTCGTTAAGAGATGTCCGTCGAGCTGTCGTCTCTGAGAACATTAGTCCATGCTCCCGTCTCACTCTGAAGACGAGCAGAAACACCATCCTACAGCTAGATATTCCTGTTACAGTAATACTGGACAACTAAACAAAAACTAAAAAAAAAACAAAGAAAATCTTCAGGGACAACATGACAGTAAGGTGTGCGCACCATGCTTGTGATTTCGTGTGCACGTTTGTGTTTCTATCTACATGGTGAGTGTTAAAACAGGAGTCCAGGCTCCTTCTGCAAACAGGGTGCGGCTCCGGTTTACGAGTCGTCGTCGCCGTTGACACTGTCACCGTCGTCTTCATCTCCTTCCACGTGCTCTCCTTCCTCCTCTTCCTCTTCTTCCTCCTCCCTCTCCTGACTCTTTACCTGAACAGTCAAACAGAGCAATGAGCAGAACTGCAATGTTGAAGCTACTGAAAAAGGACAATCGTATCCTTTTTAAACACATTTTAAACAACAAGCAATAAAATGAACCGCTTCCTTTATTTAACATTTTCTGTTTTAGGTCATTTAGGATTGCTAAACTTCATACCAGGACAGCAGTAAGCAACACACCCAGCAGGGAAGCCAAGACCTCCCTCTCAGACGGGATATTCATTTCCTCCATCATGAAGAAGTCACAGTAAAAAAACTCAAAAGTTTTTCCTTTATGGTTGGCCATTTTCAATTTTATAAATCTAGTCAGATTTTGTGCTCAGGTTTTATTATAACCAGCACACTGATGTCTAGCTTGAAATTGTGTCTAACTTAAGAAAATAGAAAGTAGAGTAAATAGAAAGTAATTCCCAGTGAAATGTAGTAATTCAATATTATGTGGATGATGCTGTTGTTTTGCTGTTTATGTTCATTTGAAACAGTCATGTGCTAAAATATATTGGATGTTGTATTAGGAGGAAAAAAGCAACTCAAACATTTGTCATATATATATATATATATATATATATATATATATATATATATATATATGACGAGGGAAAAAATATTGATACATTAAAATATCACAATATCTTCTTATGCTGATATATTGTCATTTAAAAACACCATATCAATCTCTTTTACTAATGAAATATTGCTTTATGTCATCGTTATGCTAAGAAATACCCCGAAAATTCAAGAAATTTTGCCATATTTTTTAAATGTTGATATATTGACGCGGTATCGATCTATTTTACTAACAAAATCTCACAAGAATTTGCAAAATATCACGAGAGTTTGTAACAGAACGATGAAATTTCACGAGATTTTGAAAGTAAAATAGATCGATACTGCGTTTTTAAAAATCTATTTGATATCAACATATGAAAATATATTTGAGTTTATTATTGTTCAAAGTGTCAGAAATAGATAAAACTGCTATTTTCAATGACTACTTATTTTTGTCCAGCTTTAACATCGGTATCGATATCGGTTATCGGCTACATGAGTTTTAAAATATCGGCATATCGGCCAAAATCCCAATACCGTGCATCCCTTATATATATATATATATATATAGTACATGCATTACCAGACATGTAAGATGTAATTACCATGACAATGTCATCAATACATATACATCATCAATTTAGTACTTTTGGCACATTTATATTATTATGCTCCATTAACACATTAATTTTATTGTGAATGATTTGTATAATATATTACATGATTTATGGACTTCCGTGATTTCATAATAACTATGCAATGTGCCTATTTGTTCAATCATAAGTAAACTACTTATGGTATGGAACAGCCAGTGTGTCTCAAAGTGATGAATTTATCTTTACTTTAAAAGTCTTAAGTCCCCCTGAAAATGAGAAAATCATCGTCGTTTGATGCTGTAGCGCATGTATTGTTTACAATTCGACTGGTCTAACAAGGGAGTACCAATATGGCAGCTTCACTTCAGCCCTGTACTACCAACAGGCAATCAGCAATCCAGGGAATAGAGATCAGTTGTTGCACCAGAAAGGGCACACAGCCTCTCTAAAAAGGAACAGTCTGCTGTTGAACAAAGCCAGGCAGAAATTGGTCCATTCCTCTCACCTCTTCTTCCTCAAGCAGGTCTCCCTCCTCTTCTTCCTCCTCCTCGTCATCATCGTCTTCCTCTTCGTCCGAGTTGTTCATGTCGTGGCTCTCCCTGTCCCTCTTGATTCCATCGTTCTTCTTACTGCTGGAGTGTGGCGGTGAGGTCACCTCTCCTGGCTCTGGCTTTATGCTCTTTGCTATTTACAGACATTAAAAAGTGCCTTTGTTAAAACCCATCATAGAACTATTGAACATAAAGCATCAGAAGCGTGATCCTCGTACCAGACTTCTTGCTGTGGTCCTTCTCCATTCGCTCCAGGCTTTCCAGCAGGTCGTCCACTTTGCTTTTAATCTGCGACAGCTCCCGCTTGATGGTTTGCAGCTCATCCATTCTCACTGCAGGGAAAGACATGAGAGATTTGACGATTTGCTACCAGATTTGCTTCATACCACTGCCGTCTCAGCAAGCTCCACTCTGCTAGTTACCTTTTTACAATGCAAGGGGATAACATTGTGAGCTGTACATTATATACAGGTGCTGGTCATAAAATTAGAATATCATGAAAAAGTAGATTGATTTCAGTAATTCCATTTAAAAAGTGAAACTTGTATATTATATTCATACATTACATACAAACTCATATATTTCAGATGTTTATTTTGTTTAATTTTGATGATTACAAATGACAACAAATGAAAATCTCAAATTCATCATATCAGAAAATTAGAATATTACTGAAGACCAATAAAAACAAAGGATTTATAGAAATGTTGGCCAACTGAAAAGTATGAACATGAAAAGTATGAGCATGTACAGCACTCAGTATTTAGTTGGGCCTCCTTTGGCCTGTATTACTGCAGCAATGCGGCGTGGCATGGAGTCGATCAGTCTGTGGCACTGCTCAGGTGTTATGATAGCCCAGGTTGCTCTAATAGTGGCTTTTAGCACTTCTGAATTGTTGGGTCTGGTGTATTGCATCTTCTTCTTCACAATACTCCATAGATTTTCTATGGGGTTAAGGTCAGGAGAGTTTGCTGGCCAATTAAGAACAGGGATACCATGGTCCTTCAACCAGGTACTGGTAGCTTTGGCACTGTGTGCAGGTGCCAAGTCCTGTTGGAAAATGAAATCTGCATCTCCAAAAAGTTGGTCAGCTGCAGGAAGCATGAAGTGCTCTAAAACTTCCTGGTATGTGGCTGCGTTGACCCTGGACCTCAGAAAACACAATGGACCAACACCAGCAGATGACATGGCACCCCAAACCATCACTGACTGTGGAAACTTTACACTGGACTTCAAGCAACGTGGATGAAGTGCCTCTCTTCTTTTCCTCTAGACTCTGGGACCTTGATTTCCAAAGGAAATGCAAAATTTACTTTCATCAGAGAACATGACTTTGGACCACTCACCAGCAGTCCAGTCCTGTTTCTCTTTAGCCCAGGCAAGACGCTTCTGACGCTGTCTGTGGTTCAAGAGTGGCTTGACACAAGGAATGCGACAGCAGAAACCCATGTCTTTCATACGTCTGTGTGTGGTGGTTCTTGAAGCACTCACTCCAGCTGCAGTCCACTCTTTGTGAATCTCCCCCACATTTTTGAATGGGTTTTGTTTCACAATCCTCTCCAGGGTGCGGTTATCTCTCTTGCTTGTACACTTTTTTCGACCACATCTTTTCCTTCCCTTCGCCTCTCTATTAATGTGCTTGGACACTGAGCTCTGTGAACAGCCAGCCTCTTTAGCGATGACCTTTTGTGTCTTGCCCTCCTTGTGCAAGGTGTCGATGGTCGTCTTTTGGACAACTGTCAAGTCAGCAGTCTTCCCCATGATTGTGTAGCCTATAGAACTAGACTGAAAGACCATTTAAAGGCTTTTGCAGGTGGTTTGAGTTAATTAGCTGATTAGAGTGTGGCACCAGGGGCCATCAATTTTGAACCTTTTCACAATATTCTAATTTTCTGATATGATGAATTTGAGATTTTCATTTGTTGTCATTTGTAATCATCAAAATTAAACAAAATAAACATCTGAAATATATGAGTTTGTATGTAATGTATGAATATAATATACAAGTTTCACTTTTTAAATGGAATTACTGAAATCAATCTACTTTTTCATGATATTCTAATTTTATGACCAGCACCTGTAGGTCTGAAATCCTCATGTGTGCAAAAATGCAATTGCAAATGACTGAGACTCAGTTGGATAATATGTTTTTGAGTGCCGTGAATTCACTCTGCATACATTTGGTTAGCTGGATGAAGGCCAGGGAAATAACAAAAATATTTTGTGGTAAAGATGCAAGTACTAACAGAATATGCTGCAGATGCTGATGATTGGGTGGGGAATGAATCTGGAATATTATTAACATTAGTTTTACAGGAACATGTTTCACTGATATGGTTCAAACAAAATTTTTTTCATCCTTAAATGAAAAGAGCACTAATTCCCTGTATTAGAAAACACACCTGATGTGACCAATTTAAATTCTTAAAGAGGTTTTTTCAACGTCAGGGAGATGAAATGAGCAACAGTTTACAAAAGACAGCCTGAAGATCCTGGAAACATAAATATGCTTAACCTCAGAGGATTGCTGAGCTTTTACTTGAACAAACCATAAAAGGTAATGTTTGTTACTGCAACAGTTTCTATTCTCAGTAATCCAGGTGTTCACTATCCTAAGAATGCTGTGAAGAAGTATAAACGGAGGTATGGGCATTATAAAACTCAACACAGGGAAACATTTGATACTGAGGCTCAGCAAAAGGCTTTTTCATTTTATCAGACACAATCAATTTTGCATTGGGGCCAAAAAGTATTCAGTCAGCCACTGATTGTGCAACTTCTCCTACTTGGAATAATGAGAGAGGTCTAATTTTTATTTTAGGTAAACTTCAGCTATGAGAGACGAAATGAGAAAAGAAAAATCCAGGAAATCACATTGTAGGATTTTTAAATAATTTATATGTAAATTATAGTAGAAAATAAGTATTTGGTCACCCACAAGTTGGCAAGATTTCTGGCTCTCACAGACCTCTAACAACTTCTTTAAGAAGCTCTTCTGTCCTCCACTCGTTACCTGTATTATTTGCACCTGTTTGAACCCGTTATCTGTATAAAAGACACCTGTCCGCAGCCTCAAACAGTCACACTCCAAACTCAGCCATGCCAAAGGCCGAAGAGCTGGCGAAGGACACCTGGGAGAAAATTGTAGAGCTGCACCAGGCTGGGAAAGGTGAATCTACAAAAGGCAAGCAGCTTGGTGTGAAAAAGCAGCTGTGGGAGCAACTGTAAGAAAATGGAAGACTTACAAGACCACTGATAATATCCCTCCATCTGGGGCTCCAAGCAAGATCTCATCCCGTGGGGTCAAAATGATCATGAGAACGGTGAGCTAAAATCCCAGAACTACACGGAGGGACCAGATGCTGAGAGCTGGGAACAAAGTAACAAAGGCTACCATAAGTAACATACGACGCTGAGAGGGGCCTGCAGGGCCAGACATGCCCCCCTGATCATGCCAGAACATGTCCAGGCCCGCCCGAAGTTTGCCAGAGAGCATATGGATGATCCAGAAGAGGATTGGCAGAAAACCATGTGGTCAGATGAAACCAAAACAGAACTTTTTGGTAAAAACCCAAATCACACCACAGCTACTGTGAAGCATTGGGGAGGAACATCATGCTTTGGGTCTGTTTTCTGCAAAGAGGAAAGGGAAACTGATCTGACCTTAAAGACAAAACGTGGCTGGATCTTCCAGCATCATAATGGGATCCCAAACACACCGTCCGGGCAACGAAGGAGTGGCTCCATAAAAAGAATTTCAATGTCCAGGAGCGGCCTAGCCAGTCTCCAGACCTCAACCCCATAGAAAATGTATGGAGTTGAAAGTCTGTGTTACCAAGCAACAGCTCCGAAAGGTCACTGCTTTAGAGGAAATCTGCATGGAGGAATGGGCCAAAATACCAGCTACAGTGTGTGCAAACCCTGTGAAGACTTACAGGAAACGTTTGACCTCTGTCATTGCCAAGAACTGTTCTGTTACAAAGTATTGAGTTGAACTTTATTTATTGACCAAATACTTAATTTCCACAATAATTTACAAATAAATGCTTTCAAAATCCTACAATGGGATTTACTGGATTTTTGTTTCTTCCTCATTTCATCTCTCACAGTTGAAGTGTACCTATGATGATAATTACAGACCCCTCCCATTATTCTAGGTAGGAGAATTTGCCCAATCAGTGGCTGATTAAATATTTTTAGGCCCCACTATAAAATTAAGTGAGGTTAGGATCATGTAATTTTCCTTCTGTCAGCCTGAAATTGCAAATGATCTGCACCTTAACTTACCCAGGTTTGCTATCATGAAAACGAGTTAGAAATGAGAAGAAAAGGCTTTAGGGAACTTGACAGAAAACTGTCGACAGGCCCTTATCTAGTAAACAATGCAAATGTCACACAATGTTTGAAGCTAATGGCTTTGAACAATGAGCCTGTTTGTCATTTTGGAACAAGGAACAAGGCTGGCGTCGCTCTATAAGGAGGCCTAGGAGGAAATAGTTCATCTCCCCAGGGCTGCAACTAACTGACATAAAAAATAAATAATTGCACAGTGTACGCCCGGCTTTAGATGAAACACACCGAGGTGTTGTGTCCTAATGCAACAAAAAGGTGAGCCCGTCTATTATTGCAATGCTGTGGCCTATAAGGTACTGAGAACACTGACTGGTTCTGGACGATGAAGTCCTCTGGCCGCTCTTGGATGAGGAGGAGAAGCTGCTCTTGGTTCGCCGGCTGCTTCCTCCGCTCAGGCTGACCCGTGGGCGTTTGGACGGGATCACGGCCCGTGACAGAGGGGGCGGGGCGGGGACGCGAGACGGGTACGAGTACATTCTGGAAAGAAATAAAACGAAAAAGATAAAAAAAACAATCAACCAGCTGCTTAATGAACACAAAGTTTTATTTTTCACAGAATGGAGCATATGCAGTGTAAACAAACGGAAGGTGTGAGGACAGGTGTCAGACAGACAGAAAGCAGCTTTCACTCACCTGTCATAGTAATCTCTTTGAAAATCATAGTCGAGGTCAAACGACGAGCTGCTGCTAAACAGAAGATAAAACAAAGGCAGTGAAAATATGAAATCCAGTCAGTAGTGTTACATTCACTGAATGTTTACTGAGGGCATGTAAGCCTCTCTAAAAACACATTCTGAACCGGTTATTTATCTTCGCATCAGTTTACGACGCGCCGACGCCTACCTGTACATGTCCCCAGCAGAGCGCTTGGAGGTTTTTGACCTCTGTGGTTTGGGTTCTCCAGCCAGGTTGCAGTCTGAGACGAGAACAAAGACAACATGCTTGTTAACTGCCTGATAATAAACAGTTTCAGACAAAACAGGAACACCGAGTTAAACACAGCTGCACTTTTAGATGACACCATTTTAATTCAAGTTGTTGTTTGGCTGTCTTAGTCTTAAGATCTGCACCATTAGTACTTCTACCTTATTTGCATTAATACTGACAGATTTAGAGAAGAACACTCTGTAAGCATGATGCGGCCACCACCATGCTTCACCATGGGGATGGAGCATTTGTACAACACATTTCAATAGCAATACAGTTCAAAGTGCTGTAAATTACAGAGGCATAAAGGCAACAAATAATTAGAATAAAAATTATTTAAGATTATATATACGGCTGAAACAATTAATAAGATTGTGATTAATCGATTATTGAAATAATCGTCAACTAATTTAGTAATTGATTATTAGTTAAAGTTAAAGTAGAGAGACTGTAAAACATGCCTTTTGCTGACAGAGAGACCAACTTAAGGGCATCAATTATACATTCATTAAATATCCATCCATTTTCCGTCATGCTATCCCAGCTGGGGTCACGAGGGGTGCTGGTGTTCATCTCCAGCTGTCTACGGGCTAGCGGCGGGGTCCACCCTGGACAGTAGGGCTGGGTATTTTGGCCAAAGTCCTGAATCGATTCGATTTTGATTCATACAGTTCTAAATCGATTAATTTCGATTCGATCCGTTTTTACAATAATGAAAATGGTTCAACTGTGTTTCAAAATACTCATGTATTTTATTTCTTCCTGTCATATTAAACACAAAGTGCAAACCTGTAAATCAGACGGTTTAAGCTTGAGACGTGAACAAAAATGTCTCAGAAGTGAAAAAGTGAAGCCTCACTGGAGCAAGCAGACGTGACACAGCAGACATGGATGAGCTGCATTATCTCCGCTGCACAAACCATATTTGCAGCGTTGTCTGTAACAACTACAGGTTGATTGCTGGTCAGTCTCCATTTGTTGATGTCAGCTATATTTGCAGCTGTCAGGCTTGAAGTAATCTTGAGATGCGAGGCGCCACTCATCATCAATGCAGTGGGAAGTCACCTTTATGTCACATATCCAGCAAATTATCTTTAGCTGTTTTAAATCCAAAATGGTTCCAGACATCAGACTTCAGTTGGGGCAGCTTGCTGAACGCTGTGTTACATTTGCACACGCCTGCTCATTTGAACGTGAACGTCACTATAAAACTAATCGATCTCATTCCCTACACATCGATTTTGCAAAAATGTGAAGGAATCAATCCAAAATCGATTAAATCGTTTTTTTTACCTAGCCCTACTGGACAGGTCGCCAGTTCATCGCAGGGCAACACAGAGACACACAGGACAAACAACCTTTCACGCACACACACACACCTAAGGAGAATTTAGACAAGTCGATTAACATAACAGTCATGTTTTTGGACTGTAGGAGGAAGCAGGTGTTAAATGAGGAAGTTATGTCCCCTTGAAGGCAGTTGCGCCTCGGGACTTCCCTTCCGGTTCTTTTCCTGGGAGCAAGTTATTTACTACTCTTAACTCAAACTGGGTAAAACCATGTAAAAAGGACTATAAAAACAGGAGTAAAAAAGTAACAGAGTTTATTCCGGATCAAGTCGTTACAGGACAGAGAAAAATGCTTGTAGCTTGCACAGCTGTGGGCTCAAAAATCACGTCCGGCAAAGATTGAGCCCCGAACAAGGTCATCCCCTTCTTCTTATACCTCATGTGTCTATGTGTTGCATCAGGTGGATGCTTAGCTGTCCGTATCAGAAACTGACACGCCATCAATGCTCTGACCTATATGCGTCTTGCTTCTATGCCTCAGGATTACAGATAGCTCTCCTCTATCAGTCCTGCTCCAAGATATGCCCATATCCTGTGTATCTTTAAAAGACAAGAAGGCTGTCCTATTTAGATGACCCACTTACACACAGTGACATCCACAATGTGAAGGAAGGCCTTCTACTCTCTATCTGGCTAACAAAGTAACAATGCACATTATGTATAAAGAATAAACCGAATGAACCAGTAGGGAAGTCCCGAGGCGCAACTGCCTTCAAGGGGACATAACTTCCTCATTTAACACAGGAGTACCCGGAGAGAACCCACGCATGCTCAGGGAGAACATGTTAACTCCACGCAGAAAGACCCTGGGCTGGGAATCACATGCACCTACTTGCTGCATGTCAGCAGTGCTACCCATTGCCCCACCGAGCATTTTTAATATAAAAAAAAAAAAAAGGCAGATTTTAATTTAATAATTACAAGAAATACGTTAACATCTTGCATTTAAGATTTAAAAAAAAACTCTTCCTCTGTCAGTTTGCTCTTACCAGAACTCCTCAACTGGAAAAGTTTTAGTTTTACCTCGTTTAAGTTCGTTAAATCTATTTTAACCCTTGATAGGACACTCAGTTTAATACTTTAAAAATCCACATTTTCAATCCAGGACAAGACCTTATTACCTTTGTAACATTTAAAAAATACGGATATTTGGATGGCAAAAATGAATGTCAACATAATAAGAAACGCCAACTTGCCCGAAAATATTGAGAAAATAACCAAAGTGCTTCAATAAGAAATTCATGAAAAACACTGAAGAGTGAAAGAAACACATTTTTTGGTACAACAAAACCTTAGAGGCATTAATGCTGATACTGGCACATACATTTTCTAGTTTACAAATCTAAATATAATTGTTAACTAGGCTTATTAACTTTTTAACTTTTCAATTAGCTTTTTACCTTTTTTCCAACTTAATTTCCAGCAGGTAATATATCATCCAAGGGCTCATCTAATTGGTTGAATGCCAAAATAAGATGTAAAGCCATGTAGCAGGATCTTAGCTAAATGGCTGGATATAGATGTTGTGCTTCTAGACGTCACTGAGGGACGGTGGGCACTCCATTTGTAAGGGGAATGCAAGTGATAAAAAAGGCTAACTTGCCCTATAAAGGATTAAGGAACCTTTTTCTATCAGATTATCAATCGATTAAAAATCAGCTGATTAATCTACTTGATTACATTTGCTTAAACTGAAAACCTAACTAATGTTTGGATAGAGCTGTCAAAGGCGGCTCTGAACAAATGTTTTTAATCTGGATATAAAGCAGCTGAGGGTTTCAGCATATCTCGTTTGTTCCAGATTAGTGGAGCATAAATATCTTTGGTCTCATGGGGTCAGAACGTCTCACATGTTTGCCAGGTTCCCTACATTACTAAAGGACCTAAAATGACAGCACCTCTGATAGGCTGCCCTGTTGGTTGTGAATCATGACACCATGTGTTCACCGATGTTCTCTATCCAACCTAGGAGGCTTTTAAAGAACAGCTGATCCCTGCAAAGGTGGAATATGTTTAGAGAAATGACCTTCATTTGCTTGCACTATTATTTATCCACGGTTATCAAAACATAAACAGCTGAAAAGCATGCCATGCAATCACTCTGCGCTGTTACATAAAGTTTCTACAATATGAGGAAGTTAATAATCAAAACACCAAACAAAAAATATTCAAAGGCTGTGAAAACATTCGCACGGCTAAGTTTCCGAGAAGTGAGTCAATTAAATATGTGGGAAAACGATAAGAGGACTAGATGTCCTGGAAGGACATCTGCACACAAACTAGTTTTTCCTGTTCTCCTAGATTTCAGCGAACTTGCCCTAAAGCACCTGGTAAAACTTGATAAAGGCAACAATATAATGGTATCTATGGTCCTGCATGTAGGCATTAATACGGATCTGCAGATTTACTTCAAAGGTTTCAGACACAAATCATTAACAAACTCCATCTAATCTATACAAGCATCATCGGGATGTTGCCACCTTTTACTCTTAGGGTTTGATGCGACGGGAAACTACAGAAAAACACTTGTTTCAGCCCCCATATATCTCACTGTGACTTTTACCACCAGATGTTTGTAGAAGGAAATTTAAAAATCTGATCTTAACTTTCAAAACCAATGTCAACTGAGTTTATTTATGTATCACCAGTTCTTAACAAATCTCATTTTAAAGGTATTTTATAAGACAACAAGATAAACAGCTTTAACTTAAAATCAAAGGCATCAGTAATTTTTAGTGGTTGAAGTTACTTGATGTAACCGTTTTTTTTAAGGGTCAAACAGTTTGCAGCACATTCAGATGCTGCATTCAAATCCAACTATTAAAGTCAAGCATCTGCTTCCCTGTCAAAGATGCTGAATTTTCACAAGAACTTTTAAAAACTAGTCAATAGAAGAACTGAGAGATGATGAATCCTGAAGCTCAGTTTGTTTCTATTTTTTTGTTGAGTCCCCATTTTCTGGCCACCTGAGCAGCAGTGCACAGGGCAGGAGGACGGAGCTGCTTTATGCTCCAAACAAGCAGAGAAAACCTCAATCCCTCCCACATTTTCAGAAGGGCTGAACGATTTCGCCAAAATTCCAAATTGTGATTATTTGACCAACATTACGATTTTATTTCGATTATCCTCTACACCAGAGGTCACAAACCCGACCCAGCCTGATTTAAAACATTTATAAATAACCGCATGTTGTCTGACAACAGTGTTTAATTTCACTTGCGCTGCTTCTCCTGTTAATACGGTAAAGCCCTCCGGAGCGTCCGGGACCAGGCTGCATGTGATACAAATGATCCAATGAGCTGCTGTCAGTCTGGGTTGCTGCTGCTGCTACTTTTAGACACAGCAGGCAAACCTGTGGCAAGCCGGGCGAAGGGAAAGAAGGAGAAGATGATGAGAAAAAGAGAGCAGAGAAAGTGTGGACTGCTGGAAGAACTGCGGTGATCTGGTGACAGAAAAGTGAAATGGTGCTCAAAGATGACCCTGCACATTTAGAGGATGTTTGGCTCAACCTGCTGCTGTGAAGCAGGATTCTCCACCATGAAAAGAATCAGAAATAAATATGGATCCAGGCTCAGAATGAGCTCCTTGAAATGTGCTTTAGAATGGCTTAGTCTCCATTCAAACCCAGGTTTAAAGCCTTGCCGAGCAGTAGGGGTGTAAATCACATCCATCATGGCGATTCGATTCAGTATCGATTTCCTGACCCAACGATTCGATTATTTTCGATTCTCAAGAATACACCACGATTCGATTAATCGGTTAAATTTTTCCTTTATTATTATTTTTTTTTTTTACACCTTACAGGCTAAACAAAGTTTCAAGTTTGAAATAAATCAATGAAAGCTGTAATATCATTATGCATTTTCTTTAGAAACAACAGCAAATAACAGAAGTAGAAAAGTTGCATCAAAAAATAATGCAAAAATACTGCACAATATCAGTCGTCGTACTAAACTCGCCCCCACTTCCTCACCGCCTCGGCCGTATCTAGACCCACAGTGTGTAGCTCAGACCACGCTTCAATACTGAGCATAATTTAAAAATGTCTGTGTGAAGCTTACTCCAACACACTGCTGTAAGAGTATAACCAGGAAGCGCGGTAGGAGGGCAAAATAGGTTTAGCGCCACCGCAGCACGGGAGGGAGACTTACGCCCAGGAGCAAATAGATAAAAATAGACCGGAGGAAAAAAAAAACATGAATCGATTATCTTGCGCACGTGTCGATGCATCGGATCGTCGGCTTTTGGATCGATGCATGGATACAAAGCGATTATTATTTACACCCCGGGCAGCATAAAGCCCACTGCGAAAGAAGAAAACGGTCAGTTCAGGTGTTTTATAAATAAAACATGAGAATCAGGAAATTGTCTTTATACCAAACTGAACGATTGTTGTTCTCTACTTTGAAAACATTTTAGATTTTAAATTTGGAAATTTTTTTTTTTTTTTTTTTATGTATAGCATGGAGGCATAAACATTTAATTTTATTTCAGTGTTAAATTCTGGATTAATTAACACATAACAAAAAATGTCTCCGGACGTTTACTGGTGCTTGACTTTACTCAGACCCCGCTGATTTTAAATTGGTGACCCCTGATCTACATTGAGCACAAGCTTGTGAATGTTTCAGTTTTTTCATCATCTTAAAAGCTGGCTTGTCCAAAGTCCATTGCTGCAGGACTTTACTGTAACCTTTTAGTGAAAAAAAAATGCTTACTGCTACTTCGATGCAAAAATCTGTGTCAGCTGGAAGCTCTGGATTTTTTTTTTTATGGCAGCAAACGCATTTTAATACAAAATCTTAAATGTAACATGAACAAAATTGAGCGCTTCTGCGATATGAAAATTGCGTTTTGTTAAACTGCGATATTTGCAAAAGCAATTCATTTTCCCGCTCTAATTTTCAGCATGGCATCAAGTTTTCCATTTTAAAACCAAAACTATTTGATTTCAGTATTTTCATTAATCTTGATTCCTCTTAACTGATAAATGACTAAAGTTTTAAGTACAAAGGGAGAAGTTCATGCTTTTAACGCACATAATAAACCAACTATTCTATGAAAAGGATTTCCCTTTTAATTGGTTTTTAGGCGTCCTCACCGAGCACTTGTCCGACGATCATCCTCCCGTCCTCCCCTGTGACGGCAGCCCGAGCGTTCCTTTCATTGGAGTACTGGACGAAGGCGTAGCCCTTGTGGACAGAGCAGCCCACGATCTTCCCGTACTTGGAGAAGATGGCCTCGACATCCGCCTTGGTGACCAGCAGGGTGTTGAGGTTGCCGATGAAGACCCGGGAGTTGAGGGAGCGCGGGTCGGTTTTGTTGGTGACGTTGCTGCTGGCCATTAGGCTGGAAGTGGAGGATGAGCGTCTGGCAGAAAACGAGAGAGACAAACACACAAAAATACGTAGCTTTGAGATTTTAAGGAAGATTGCAAGACATTTACCCCTCTGAGTATTAAGACTGTCGCTCTGTAGATTCAGAATCAATAAGGGGATAAAAGTAGTGATGAAAACAAGTTCTAATTATGGACACAAACATGCATCAGTCAGATCATCTTAAAACAATTGGCTCTTATCTACCATTGAAAAGGTCAATTTTTCTCTTCCACTATGCATCAAATACATCATGAATAAATAGCTGCAATTTAAAGTATATTTAAAACTAGATAAGGTTTAGGCAGCTGTGCTTTAATCATGTTTTTATGCATTGCTCCAAAGCGATACCTCAATGCATGAAGCTGCAGCGTATTTTTTGAAAACCTTGCAATACGGTCCCTAAATATTTTAGAAAAATTGGTCTTAGGAGGTCAGAGCTAAAAGAAAATCTATATGACCGGTCCATCTCTGTGCAGCGGCTCTAAATCTATTAAAACAAGTTATTTTCCTTGCACGCTAAAAAAACCCCACATGTAAATATTATGAAACAAATTTCCTGGTTGTATTAAGATACACAACCAGGCCTTTGAAAAGGAAATTCAATCCATAGGAAAGTGTGTGATGAACCCAGAGATAAAACGGAGCATGCAAATGGTAACCAGAAATAAAGAACTTTTAGAGAATTGAGCTTAATACAAATGAGCACGTTAGGCCAGCGTTTCATTTTAACCCCGTAAAGTGAGACACAGAGTGAAACTATAAACACTTCCTCTACACACATTCACTCATGCACAATCCAAATGCTTCATGTTCCCCTAACCCAACCAAACACATCACAGTGCAGATCCTCACTGAGGGAAACAGAGTTTTTAATCTAAGAGCCACTCCCCGGTAAAATGAGACGGCAGACATGTAACACAGACGCAAACAGAGACATCTGGGGAACTTTGAATGTTTCAGGTCAGAAAATCCTCTATAATCAAGCTAAAGGCTAATAAGAAGGAAATGCATTTCTGCATTTTAACTTCATATGAATATATTTAATGATGTGTAGGAAATTCTGCTAAGTATTGAAAAGAGAGCTGCAGTCTATATCCTGACTAATAAAAACTATTCAGAACCATAGTCTTGTTTAAAGTCAGATTTTTCCTGTAAAGAGGGGAGAATCTGGAGATATTCACATGAAAACATCAATGTATGGACAGTATGTCTGCCCCCTCCTGCTGACAGGAAGGGAGGGGGGGCTTTATTCAACATTCATGACTCACTCCATAGCGTCTGTGTGCGGGGCTCTTGTCTGCCTGATGTTTGACACTGTGGGCTGGGCAGTTTGGGCTGGGGTCTCGACCTTCACCTTCGCCCCCCTTGCAGATTTTTACTGAGGCGACAAAAAACACATCCTCAGTCAAGCTGGGAAGGGTTATGGTTCACCAAATCTTACCTGGGCTGGATGGAGTGCGTGCAGGAACAACGCTCCAGAACCGAAACCAAAAAAATAAAATAAACAGAAACTAGAGCTAATCAACTAACTACAGCTAGGCATTACTGACATAAAAGATTAAGAAATCAATCAAACTCCTGAATAGCTGAACTTATGTCAGACCAGCCGTTTATGATAGCTTTATTTTTGCATTTTAATAAATAAAAAAAATGCTGTGTTTAAGCTACACAAACAGGATTATCAAGTGATTCAAAGTTTAAATATCAAAAAATGGGAAACTGTGGCAATAATTAATCCATGAGTGAAAGTTTAACTTGGAAACAGCTCACTAAAGCATGACCTCCCAACATATGCAGGTAAACTACCACTTAAATCAGCTGTTAGGGGGAGAAAGGGATTTTACTTTTAACTAATATGAAAAAAGCAACAAATTTTGACACAGCAAAGCATTCATGTTAGTGGAATCTCAGTTAATATGTCATATTTCAGCCTTTGCACAAAAGTTGAGAACCAATTTCATAAATCCTCTTAACCATTTCCCTCCATTGGGGAATTGCTTTACACGTATATTTATATGAATAATCATAAATGCAGTAAGAGACATGGTTGAAATCTATCAGGGACTGATATATACATATATTTAGCCATAAAGTAGGCGTGGGTATGTACCTGAGGCTCATGGGTGAATGTAGAGAAGCATAATAACAGCCAAAAGAAGACACTTTGCGTACAAGATGTTTAATTAAATGTGTATTTATCATGTTATGTGATGAAACTTGCAATCCAAAGCTTTAAAAACCATCATGCGAGGGAAAAACTCCGTTAAAAAAGAAAAAAAAAAGTAAAAAAAAATTGAGGAAAACAAAACATCCCGACGCACGATTGAGGAAAGTTCTTAAAAATTACTCAAATTAATCATCAACACACCCTCCTGCACGCCAACAGCGCCCTCCTCTGGGCTTAAGAGTGAATGACAGGGCCTGCGCTATCATTGTAGCGCTCCGTGTAGGCTAGCACTGCTAGCTAGCCCTTCCCATTCCATTGCATTGCCTAACAACTAAAAAAAATGTGTATATACGAAAAATTAAATATCAATCTAACCAGTTCTTGTGTAAAAATAAAAACCTGTAAAAATCTGAATTTAAAGTCAACAATAAGGAATCGTGGATTGAAATGATGTTGCATCTGACGCTGTTAGCTGAAGCTAACATTAGCTGTCCGACTGTGAAAAGCGAGCCAAAAACAAATCAGTCCCATCAAAGAAAAATATCCATTTAAACGCTATAAAACTTATATCTAGCCAGACATGGAAAAAATGGGTCAAAGTGTAACTAAAATGCTTCCAACACGTCGAGGTTCTTTAAAAAATAATCTGCATTTTTGTTTGTCTTTGAGGGGGCCGAGCGCTTCCACGTTAGCTAAGCCAGCTAACCCTGCTAGCCAGCACATTCTGTCCACTCGCAAAATGGAAAATCACCGTGGAAAAATCCAAAAAGAAAAGAAAAAGGAGGGAAAAATGAAAAAAAAAATGTCTGGGGACAAAATACTCACCACGACCTTTACGAGCAAAATGTCTTGTTTTATCGTAAAATCTGTCAAATTGCAATTTAGGTCGTCCTTTTTTGGTGCACAACCGATTCGCCCCCTTTGAACAGCGAGCTAACGCAACAGGTGGTGGCGCAGTGGTGAGCAGCAACGTTGGCTTTGTATTAGTGCGCTGCCCGGAGGGGCGGTATCTTTCAGAAAAGGACGACACAGACCACACGTTACCACCAGGTTTGCAAAACACAGTAGGTTATGTATAATTTATAATTTATCAAGCAGATTATATGGTCATCGTTTGTCTTATTAGGGCAACTTTTAGTCAAACTTGACCTGCTTTGTTAATTTCAGAATCACTTTTTAACTACATGTTTGTGATCATCTCTGGTTTAGAATGTAAACTTGTCTCCAGATTTAATTAAAATGAAGCTGGAACATCTCCTTTTAATTATTCCATCCAATGTTTGCAATGCTTTAGCACCTGTAGCACTGAAAAAGGACCACAGACCATGACACTTCCACAAACAGTTTACATGTTACTGTTAAGCCTCCTCATAAATGATGCATGACAGCTCAACCTTGGTTTTATCTGACCACATCTTTATCCATGTGAGCAAACTGAGCTGAAAATATCAAATACCTTCTTGTCCAGCATCTTTGAACACCGTGTTGATGTTACAATGCTGTTTGCAACAATGTGGAGAGGCGTGCTGTTGCTGCATCAGTCAATTTTTGTTTGCAAGGAATCTTCATTATTCAGTATAATAGAAATAATTGCAATTAAACTAGAAAAGCTCTAGGAGGGCACAGCCTGCGGCAAGCAGCAAAAATTTGCCCAATAGTGAATTCACCTATGGATAAAACTTGCACATGATCTGGATCATTACCAAATTTAAATGAATGTTCCTTAGCATGGGGTATACCTCTGATAAAACAAATAAGTAATATCTGTCCTTAAATTTTCATGTTATGTTGTAAACAGACAGACAGACAGACAGACAGACAGACAGACAGACAGACACACACACACACACACACACACACACACACACACACACACACACACACACACACACACACACACACACACACACACACACCCTCCCTTATAACATAGCCTCCTTATAAACCAGGTCAGATTTATAAATATTTTCTATTTGAGGAACCTAGATACCGTGCCATGTTGCAGACAGCCAGCAGATGGCAGTGTTGTCTCAAAATAATAAATTCCATTGATGAAAAAAAAAAAAAAAAGATTTGACGTATTGTGTATAATTTTGCTGCCTTGCATACTTCTAAACACCTGAAAGACCCGGAGGTTTAACACTCAGTAGGAAATGCAAACATTTTATGAGCACTGTTTTCTATTATTTGATGTTATAAATGCAAGAACGATGCCTCCCTTGATGCTGCTGGAGGGGGATACCTATAAAGTCTTAAAAAAAACAATTTTTATTTTTTATCAGACTTATTATTAAGTCTAAGTCCATCAATGTTTAAAGAAAATACACAGATGGCATTTGAATACAGGCATAAAAATAAAGCAAAATGCATATATATTTTATTGTGGTTAAAAAAAACAATTTTATTAAAACTTTTTGGACTTGAGCAAACATTTAAATACATTTACTGAGCAGTTTATTGGGTTCACTTGTTAAATAGCAAACAGCGAATCAGCCGGTGGCATTGTATTAAAATACTGCATTTAGATGGTGAATACGACTATTTGAATATGAAACTGAGCAGCAGAAGGGGGACAAAATTTGTTTCAAATGACCTTGAGTGTACCATCCTTGTCCTTGTTTTCCCTTCAGTCATTCTTTCTACATACTGTTGTTTGAATAGATGATTAAGATGTGAGTAATGGGAAATCAAAGTCCTGTTCCTTGTTTGTGCACACAAAGCAGGAGCTTCATGAACAATAATTCAGATTTACAGAAAATAGGAAAAGAATAAGAATGTACTCCCAACAGTTGTGTGGCTAATAAGTACACGCCTTGTTGGTGTCAGAAGACAGAGGAGGATGGAAGAACATAAAGAAAACAGCATCTCAGAAAATAATTTGCTACAACAGATGTATGTGGAATTCTGCCTCTGAACAAAGAAAACAGCACAAGCTTAAACAGGGTTTCCACGGGTCATTAAAAATCATTAACAGTCATAAAATTATTATTATTTTAATTAGGGCCTTAATTGGCATTAAAATTCATTAAAAGATTATCAGTAGCATTTAAATTGCTTTAAAAAAAAAATTATAAAACAATTTTGTCAGATATAGCTGGTTCTGAGTGTTTGCGTGGAACTGCTTCCGGTTGATCGTAAAGCCGAAGAAGAGAAAAAGGGAGAATATATAACTATGTATATATATATATATATATATATATATATATATAGTTATTGGTAATTGTTGAGATATTATATAAAATGATTCCTAAGAGAATTAAAAGAGCATTAAAAAGCATTAAATTTGAGTTACTCATTCCTTTATAAACAGCATTAAAACAGCTAAAGCAGGAGAAAACCAGGAGAACAGGAAACCAAGATTACAGAAAACTTTAGTTCACCAAAAATAAACAATGACTAACTGTAAAGACCGTAGTTTGATTTGATGAATCTTTATTTTAACTGCTACATTTACACAGCCATTTACATGGCAGCATCATCGCTTCATGTTAAATACCCCTCCTTGTATCTATGCTACAGGCTTGTGGTGATGGTGGTCTAATGTTGTGACAGGAGTTAATTTCTAAGCACTATAAGCATCTTTGTTGCACCTGAGTATCTGAGTAGCTACTTTTAGATGAATAATGCATCATGAGACAAAATCATATAATCGTATAATCATAATAAATAAATCATATAATCATATCAATAGTTTTTTTGCAGATTGACAGTGAGTGCACTGTACTCCAGTGGTTACCGCAGTAACCATATCTAAGACCAATTAAGCTCTATGGGATGGAAAGGACAGAACCAACCTGGATTAACTCTGTGAGGAATATTTTTAACTCTTTGTGAAATGCATCCTTTAAGATTACATAATTTCTGTTTAGCAAAGTTTGGTTTATTGTAAGTTATAAAGTGTCATAAAGTGTTTATAAATAAAGGTGAGGACCTCGGGTGATCCATGTAGATGGAATTTGATAGAGAGCTGAAATAATTATAGCATTTTCTCTGCTAAGAGAACTATTTTTTGTTATTCAACATCACTTAAAAATATTTTTATGCATAAATTAAAAAAACAAAAAAAAAAACAAACATATTTTATTTCCTGGCTTTTATGTAACACCAAAAACTCAAATAAATGCTCAAAGAAAAAAATGACGGATTGCAACATCAAGAGTTCCTGTCCAGTTTGGCTTTTGGTCTATTACAGATGAAAATAAGCTGCAGCTCTCGGGAGGAGGTGTGTCTTTTTTGGATTTAATATTCGTGTGACCCTTTGCTTAAATTTTCATTTTGCCACTTTAGAAAAAAAAAAGGACAGCAAACAAAACAGACTGATACCAGCTGTTTTCTGTATCTAGTTAACAGAGAAACCCCATGTCCCAATTTTTCTGGGAGAATATGTTCTTTTGTGAATTGTTTTTGCCCATCTGGTTTCGTTTGGAGCTTCAGCATCCCAGAGGACTTGTTTACAGCTCCAAGCATCATCCCGGGACTCAGAAATGTAACTCTGACTTGCAGGTTTCACTCTACAGTCATGTCCCCAGATGAAACATTTTCTGCTCGTTCGCCTCCTTTGTGTATTTTTCAAGGCCGCAGAATGTAGTATGCCATGTCAAACATCTGACTGCGATGGCTTCAAATGCTAAAGCAATAAAATCCCCATACTATCTACATTTTAAGACTGGCAGTAATGGGAGAGTAAAGGGTGTCATTAAGTTTTAGCCCATTGCGAATCATACAGAGCTGAGATATACTGCTGGAAACTGTGCAGATCAGAAACCAGAAAGTGGTCAGAGTGAGGTCAGTACTGCAGACCTCAAACATACTGGGATAAATTGCAGGAAAACCTCTGGAAAAAAAAAATACCATAAAGTGAAGAGGAACCATGTGAACTCATAATCCATGCAAATTATTAGTTATGTAGAAATGCCAATAACCTGTAGAGGAAAAATAGCAAAGCATCATAATGTTGACCATTTATGCTATGTATGTGCATCTAAAATGACCCAAAATCCAATTCCAAAAGTTTAATTTACAACCACCAGTCGCTTCATGAGGTACGACTTGTTAGTACTGAATTAATTATTTGTGGTCTATATTGAATAAGTTGTCAAAAACATTCCTCTGAAAATTTGTGACCATGTTGATATGAAGGCATCTTGCAGTTGCAGCAAATCCGGGATGTAAATCCCCCATTTGGTCGCGTCCCAAAGGCCTCCTGATTACATTCTGGTCTCTGCAGAAAACACATGGAATCAGAAGACTCTTGCTAAATGTTGAGGAAATCAGTTTAACAATTTTTCATTTGGTGTAACTAGGCTGCTCAGTGGAGCAGTGGGTAGCACTGCTGCCAAGCAGCAAGAAGGTTCTGGGTTTGATTCTCAGCTCGGGTCTTTCTCCATTGAGATGTATGTTCTCCCTGAGCATGCGTGGGTTCTCTCTGGGTACTCCGGGTTCCTCCCACATTCCAAAAACATGACTCTCTAAATTCTCCTGATGTGGGTGTGTGTGTGTTGCCCTGCGATGGACTGGTGACACCCGCCGCTCACCCATAGACTGCTGGAGATAGGCACCAGCACCCCTCGCGATTACAGCTGGAATAAGCGGGACGGAAAATGGACGTTTTGGTGTAGTAGATGTCAGAGCCTGGGTACTACAAACTAATCATGGTCAGTAGCAGAGATGGCAAAAGTACTCACTTTCCATACTTGAGTAAAGGTACAGATACTTGTGTTAAAAAATATTCTGGTAAAAGTGGAAGTACTGATTAAACTTCTTTACTCAAGTAAAAGTAACAAAGTACAGGCTTGTAAATTTACTTAAAGTACAAAAGTAAAAGTAGAAACCACTTTTTTCATGCCGTTGCCTACATTTTAAATGGATGTCTGCCAATAGGACTAGATCTCCGTTGTGTTCATTTTCAATCATCTCGTCGTCCATACTACTATGCTAACGCCACCGCCACCAAGCTGAAATGATTTGCAGCGAATGAATACCGCCGAATCTGTCGATTCATCTTGTAGTGCTGCGTGAAATGCAACATAGATTGAATTTGGTATTGATGACGTGAAAAATAATAACGGTAACTCCAGTGAAATGATTCAAAGCTAAAGTAACGAGCCAATTTTTTAAAATGTAAGGAGTAGAAAGTACAGATATTTGTGTAAAACTGTAAGGAGTAGAAGTAAAAAGTCGCCACAGAAATAAGTATTAAAGTAAAGTAAAATTATCAGAAAAATCTACTTGAGTACAGTAACGAAGTATTTGTACTTCGTTACTTCCCATCTCTGATCAGTAGCAGGTAGGCTTTAATGTTTAAAGGCTTTCAAAATGTGGCAGGAAAATACAAACTGCACCATTAAGCTGCCACTGCCAATGTTTAAAACTGTTATAGAGCTGAAATCAAGACTCATCCAACCAGTTAATGTTTTTGTGTAGTTATTGTCCAATTTGTGTCTTTCTTCTTAGAGAGAAGTGGATCTTGGTGCAGGTTTCTGCTGCTGTAGGTGATATGATTCAGTGTAAAATTTGTTGTGCATTTAAAATTTTGATTGTGCAAATATCTGTTTGAATGAGTTGGTATTTTAACCACAGTTTCCCTTTGGTCATCTCGACTCCCTCTGAGTAACAACCCATTCCTGAAGCCTACCTGCTGATGGCTCTCAGTTGTCTCCTTCACCTCTGCTACTGCTTCAAGTTTTTGTCGCGGGAATGAGTCTCAAATCCAGGACATGTATGATGTTCCTCTCTGACTTTGTTATAAAAATGCATTTTTGCCCATACACTGTTTTCACTGGATATTTTATAAAACGCTAAAGAATGTTTAGTATGAAGATTCCATCTCATCATCAGTTTCTACCCATCTGACACCAGCAACAATCATAATATTATTTTTCATTCTGATGCTCAGTTTTATCTTCACTACAGCTCTATATTTACCACAAACATTCAAACTTCTCATTATGCTGCCTCTGATATTAATCAATGGCTAAGAAAATGACACAGTCATTGTCAGTAGTGTTGGTGGTTATCTTGTCTGTTTTCAAAAAAACTAAATACATAAAAGTAGTTTAGGTTATTTGAGAAATTCACATATTTAGGTGAAAATCATTCAAAGAAATAATGAATTAGTGTATATTGTTAATATTAGTCATTGTGCTTCATAAGCATGAAATGAACAAATCCAACTGGTTTTCCAACTTTTAACAAAAACACAGTTAGCTTAGTTGAAGTATGATTCTAAATGGAAGGCAAAGTTACATGCATATTCTTTAATAAATAACTAAGTTATTTATTCATGATTCTATTTAGATTTATAGGCAGATTGAAATGAGATATATAAACTAAATTTGTTAGCTAAATGCAGCCCTGATCACATGTCTGGATGGCTTAGCAGAAGCTAGCTTTGTCTAAACAGTCTGCATTAGGACTGGGCCATGTCTTCAACAAAGTATCCATGACAACCAACAGCTGTTCTGAATGATGGATGCTAGTACTCCTTTGCATTTCCAATACGTCTTTAGGTTTTTGTCCCACAAATTCTTTAAAAATCAAGAACACCAAATCCAGTCCTCGTACTTTGTCAGCCACACTGAAGGGTGTTAAGTGTCAGCTCCTTAGTAGGTAAAGTTAAAGGGACGTTGCTATGGTAACCAGTCAGAAACGATTAACAAATTCCCCATCCTTTTAGCTTAAGGATGAATATAAGTAAAAATCTATATATGAACATTTAATTTAACACTAGAACAGAATGAGAAATAGAATAGATTTATACTACACATTCAGAAGTTAACCCTTTCATGCATAGTGATCACTACAATGTACAGCTGTTTTCTATATATATATATATGTCTTGAATTTTGGGCACTTATACAAATCTATCGGAAGCTATTGCATCATCCCTTACAGAAAATTCCCATTTGTTGATAATTGCAATGGAAAAAACCAAGATGGCTGACACAGGGGAAAAAGACCAAACACGTCGGCTATTTCGGTTTCTACAGTAGAGGAGAAGTGTAGAGGAGAAGTGTAGAGGAGAAGTGTAGAGTAGAGGAACCACCACTCCGACAGAAAACCATATTACAACTTAAAATAATTTACAAATTTATATATGCAATTACCTTGTTGCTTATTGTTTTTTTCACAACATGACATGCATAAAGTACACTTGAGTGGACAGATAAACATTTCTTTATAGAATTAAGAATCAGAATTAGAAGACCTACGACATAGTGAATGTAAAACCTTGTTTGACTTTCCTAAGGATGCATAAAAACATTTAGTAACTGACTTTATAAATGTATTAAATGACTGAGTTTATAATTCAAGCATGAGAGGAAAACACAATTGCATCTGCTATCACTGTTTCTTTAATGGACCTATTTTCTGCAGTCCGAAAAAGTCTGAAAAAGTATTTCAGGATAACGATGGGAAATAAAAATAAACAAAAAAATGGTGGTTTTCAATCTTTGTTTTATGCTTAATATTATACCTCCATTACATCCATCCGTACATACATACATACATACATACATACATACATACATACATACATACATACATACATACATACATACATACATACATACATACATACATACATACATACATACATACATACATACATACATACATACATACATACATACATACATACATACATACATACATACATACATACATACATACATAGCAAATAAACATCTGGGGTTAACAGTGTGGGTACATTTTTTATTTCTTTGTCCGTACTACTAAACTGAGAAAACTAATATATAATAAATTTTCACATAAACATAATGGAGGGAAAGGTGTTTCAAAAAGTGAAGCACATACAGTATTTTAATCTGATTCAGAAAAACCTTTATTGTTAAATATTGTTTTATACTTACAAGGTACACTATATTGCCAAAAGTATTTGCTCACCCATCCAAATTATTGGAATCAGGTGTTCCAATCACTTCCATGGCCACAGGTGTATAAATTCAAGCACCTAGGCATGCAGACTGTTTTTACAAACATTTGTGAAAGAATGGGTCGCTCTCAGGAGCTCAGTGAATTCCAGCGTGGTACTGTGATAGGATGCCACCTGTGCAACAAATCCAGTCGTGAAATTTCCTCGCTCCTAAATATTCCACAGTCAACTGTCAGCTGTATTATAAGAAAATGGAAGTGTTTGGGAACGACAGCAACTCAGCCACGAAGTGGTAGGCCACGTAAACTGACGGAGCGGGGTCAGCGGATGCTGACGCGCATAGTGCGAAGAGGTCGCCAACTTTCTGCAGAGTCAATCACTACAGACCTCCAAACTTCATGTGGCCTTCAGATTAGCTCAAGAACAGTGCGCAGAGAGCTTCATGGAATGGGTTTCCATGGTCGAGCAGCTGCATCCAAGCCATACATCACCAAGTGCAATGCAAAGCGTCGGATGCGGTGGTGTAAAGCACGCCGCCACTGGACTCTAGAGCAGTGGAGACGCGTTCTCTGGAGTGACGAATCGCGCTTCTCCATCTGGCAATCTGATGGACGGGTCTGGGTTTGGCGGTTGCCAGGAGAACGGTACTTGTCTGACTGCATTGTGCCAAGTGTAAAGTTTGGTGGAGGGGGGATTATGGTGTGGGGTTGTTTTTCAGGAGCTGGGCTTGGCCCCTTAGTTCCAGTGAAAGGAACTCTGAATGCTTCAGCATACCAAGACATTTTGGACAATTCCATGCTCCCAACTTTGTGGGAACAGTTTGGAGCTGGCCCCTTCCTCTTCCAACATGACTGTGCACCAGTGCACAAAGCAAGGTCCATAAAGACATGGATGACAGAGTCTGGTGTGGATGAACTTGACTGGCCTGCACAGAGTCCTGACCTCAACCCGATAGAACACCTTTGGGATGAATTAGAGCGGAGACTGAGAGCCAGGCCTTCTCGTCCAACATCAGTGTGCGACCTCACAAATGCGCTTCTGGAAGAATGGTCAAAAATTCCCATAAACACACTCCTAAACCTTGTGGACAGCCTTCCCAGAAGAGTTGAAGCTGTTCTAGCTGCAAAGGGTGGACCGACGTCATATTGAACCCTATGGATTAGGAACGGGATGTCACTTAAGCTCATATGTGAGTCAAGGCAGGTGAGCAAATACTTTTGGCAATATAGTGTATTTATTGTAGTGATAAGGAGCTATGTGTAAACATGTAATTGACATCAATAAATTCAGTGATATATAGTTTGGTAAAAACAAATACAGGTTTTAATACACATTTTATGAGAATATTGATAAATAGTGTAACCACCTTGATAAAGCGGAGCACCGTAGTAGAAATTAAAAATAAATAACCTTAGTAAGTAATTAGATTAAATATTAAGGACATAAAGTAATATGTTATATATGTTAGTAAAAATCCTATGGTAAGGAAATATTGGTTTCTTAAAATATAAAACAAAATATATGAGATGGTTGCTCCGATTTTGTACAACATTACTTAAAATGAATGTAGGGTTTTTAGGCCAGTTATAGAGTGTAGCTACTAATAGTGACTTTTTTTTTTTAATTCAAGTTACTTTTCCCAAACTGCTGTTTTTCATTGCTGTTGTTTAAATTTGAAACAATGGACCCTTTAATAAAAGACGATAAAGGTTTATTGTAATACCTCCGCACAGCTGCTACACTTTTATGATGCACTATTATTACTGAAATACGTCAGGGTGGGGGGAAGGGAAGGGGGGGTGGAATTATGTTTTCTTTTTTTTTTGGAAGGGGAGTAGGGGGGGTCGCGCAACAAAACAGATGCAGCACGCGAGAGGAGCGCGCTGCAGTGACAGTAGGAAACTACAGTCCGCGTGAAGCCAGCGCGAGGAAGAGACGCTGTGACAAGGTAAGATTAGCGCTACTCATGTCTTTTACTGTTGTTTTTACTTTACAAACATTTTATCGCTGCGTCAGACTTTAACCGGTCACTGTTCACTCTGCATATGTTATGATTGGAGAAAAAATTTTTTGGTGGTATTTTTTAATGGAGATAATTTGAGTCAACTTTATGTGTGACAGTAAGACCGCTGCTATAATAAAACCCATATGTGCTCTATAAATAGGGTCCAGGTGAGAGATGAATCGATGTTCTGTTAAATTATTTCCAGTGGAATGTCTGTTTTTTGACAAATGAGGAAAAACTCTTCCTGGAATGAAGGAAAACTATTTAGGAAAATAAGTTTTTACTTCCATATGTTGACTTACACAATAAGTTGTTTTGATTGTGCAACAAAGTTTTGTGAAATGAATAGAGTAGGTGCTATAGGCTGCACTCTGATGGGATCACCCCCAAATGATTTCCTCTGATACCCCCCCTTTGCTTATTACTTATGGGACTCTTCCTTTCCACTCCTCTGCAGTTCCCTGATTTATGTAATGTAGCTGGAATGAAAAGTGCTGCAGGTGGTGGAAATCTGGCTTACTGAAGGTCCAACAGATGAGGGGGATTGTTTTAATCATTAGTCTCATGATATCACTGGCATGGAGCTTTTGCAAAGGGATTATGGTTTATGATTGCAATGCTGTGCCACAGAGGTGTGCACAGCCAGAGGTAAATCACATTTGATTTTATAATATGCTTTATATTATCTCAAATATGCTGCAATAAAAGAAGTCCAAACTAAATTTACAGTGTTTTTGCAATTCTTTTTACCTAATATGCTGATTGGGATGTTGATCAATACCAGTGACTGGCCAATTATTTCTCCAGATGCTCATATTGTTTAGTCAAATGCTCAGCTGGAGCACGGCGCGAGCGGGAAACAGCAGCAAGCCAAGATTTGTGTCGACCTGAAATATTTTGTTTGGATTGGCAGAAGTTCTGTATGTTTCGCTTCAGCTTCACGCCAGGAAAAGAGAATAACAAAAACATCTCAGATGAAGTGGATTGTTTTTATAATGCAAGGCTTTCATAAATGTAAGCAAGAAAGTGTGTCATTGGGTTGCAACATGTCTGGATCAACCTGAGATGTGCAGAGAAAACCCATGTGCCAAAAAAAAACGCAGTGCCTCAGGCAGCACTATTGAAACCAGTGGAT